AGAAAATGAAATAAAAAATATTCAGAAGACTTTGCACGTGGCAGTCATGGCCCAATGTGAACAGAGTCCTAATAGCCTGAGGCATGAAGAGCAAGAACCAAAATAAGTGTTGTCCTCCCCTAACGTTTTGGTCCTGATGTGTCCATGGCAGAGAAACTCAAACCATTTCAAGGGGTTAATGATGTCTGCTCTCTTCTTGTCTCCATTTTTCTTTTTATACTTAAGCCTGTACCGTCTTCTTAATCTCCTATATTCTTCCCCCTTTCAAGGTCATGAAATTAGAATTGTAGCCAAAACAGAGATTAAAAACTGTGAGAAAGGACATAAAATTTGGGTATTGTATGCATCTCCTCAACAGCAACATGCTACATGGTGTTTGCAGGTTTCCTCTCCTTCTCAGGGCTTTTTTCTGGGAAGATGCTGACTGCACCAGCCAGGCTCCTGTCAGAAGTTATATTTGGAGGAATTACAAGGAAAATCTTCCAGGTAGTTAGCGCTGGATTCTGGGAAGAGTAGCAGGAGTGTGGGTCTGGCTCACCAGCATTCAGGGTACTGGGGTAAGTCTTGGCAAAGACTGTGGGTACGCAAAGAAAGAATTTAGAACTCAGATCTGTGACCACAGCCTTAGGAGCCCAAGAGAGAACATTAACACAAATGGGGCCAGAGAAAACTAAGACTAAAGGTGGTATGGTCTACTGCAATCTTTTTTATCTTTTTATTGCTACACATAAATGGATTCGTGGAAGTTTTCATGGTGGAAACAATGCACATGAAATCCCACTGCTATATTGAAACATCTGCTAGTTCTAAGATAACTACTGAAGAATTTGGTTTTAAAATGACAAATAGCTAGTAATACATAGTCTGGTAATTCTATTTAAAGGTATATAGAAAGGGGATTGAGTGTATATGAATATATATATATATATATATACACACACACACACACATCCACTTGGGTGTACACACACACATGCACGCACACACACACACACATACACACACACACCTGCACTTCAAAATGCATCATCTGTTAACCCTCATAACAGCCCATGTTATACAGAGTGCTCCATTTCACAGATGCGGAAACCAATGATCAGGCCTCTGTTATAGCTCAGAGCACAAACCTCAACAGCTGTTCCCCTAGAAGGCTGGGGATCCCAAATGCATGCTAGCCTGTGTAGATGTGCAGATGCTGTGGTTCTCAGAAGTGCTTCAGAAGGGTTTCTTGGATGGGAGGAATGAGGCTGGCTTGACAGATCCACACCAGGAGTCCTCTGCTTCCCACTCCAGCCCCTTACATTATGCCCTGCAGGGTCCCTCATGCCCCAACCTCTCTCTTCCAAAACCACATTTTTGCATGGATAAACATCTCACATGGATCAGAGTCACATGGACAGAAAGTTCGGGGCCTGGGATTCGAACCAAGGTTTGCCTGATTACTATGTTCCTTCCACATAACCATGTTCATCTCATAGCTGAGCTCATGGCCTGTAATGAGAGAGAAAACCCATACGGGGGGTGTGAAAGCTTTAGTTCTCTGTTGCCTCTGTCTCACACCATGATGACCCTGATCTTAAACTAGTCCCATCTGCAGTTCTTTCTACAAAACACAACTATCAAAGCCCTTAAAAACTGTAAACAACTTTATTTTGGATTTGGGAGCAGGGATATATCTGGCATCTCCCTGACCTCCTCTACATCACCTCTTCATCTTCTGTTCTCTCAGACTCACTGTCCCCCTCTCAGATTGTGTCCTGAAAATCTAATTTGCCTTCCGAATATGAAATTAAATAATCCCCGCACCGCCGTCATATCTTTGCGGCTGAACCCTGGACTCACAGACACTGAAATTGTATA